TCAATGGATCATCTATGTCGGGTTCAAGTAGTGTGACGGTTGACACTTATTTTATATCTTTTTGGCTATCATTATGTCTTTTATTGTTGCGATGGTCATGGCTGTTATATAAATAAAAAATGTTTAATGTCTTTTACGTAAATTATTTTGAATATCAATAGTACTAGTGTAATCTTAAAACAATCTTGTTACAACATTTCTTAAGTAGTAGTATGCAAGCAATAATTACTCTTACAAATCTGCATTACAAGTATTAATTTGCAAAATCTGATCATCTTAACAAATTGCATCAAATTCAATGACCAAGGCAACGTGTACAGAGGTGCGATGTGCATATTTTGTAAATAATGCATCCATCAGTGACCACAAGGTCGTACTGATAGACTGTGTGTGTTGTAACTACTACGTATTTACATTATTCTTGACATCTTATGTATAAACAAGAATGCCAATGCTAAAATACGATTTGAAACGAGCCTAGCTTTATCACCCGGACCCGGGTACGTCCTAAAACTGCGACCAGACACCGAGGAATGGGGAGCAGCATTCTTTAAAAATTATCGGTGACCTAACTGCCCTCGCCAACCCGCCTGCCAAGCGTGGTGAGTATTGGCAAATCCCCCCATATGAACTGCTCAGATAAAACCAGGCCCCCAGTCTCCGGCAGTCCCGCCGTTCCTGGCTACCGTGGTAGCGGTCAGGGTAACGGCGGGACACGGGGTGCTAAGAATCCCCGGAGGTGGAGAAAAGGCTACCACCCCCGACGACGACTGGCCCTGGTAACACACAATGTTCGCACTTTGAGGACAGACGAGAAGATTATTGAGCTGGAAGAGGCATTGGGTAGGTTGCACTGGAGTATTGTGGGGTTGTCAGAAGTCCGACGAGAGGGCGAGGACACGATAACCCTAAGATCCGGCAACCTATTCTACTACCGGGAGGGCGAACGACTGTCCCAAGGTGGTGTCGGGTTCCTCGTCCACAGGTCCCTCGTCAACAACATTCTTACCATCGAAAGTGTGTCGAGCAGGGTGGCGTACCTGATACTCAGGGTATCCAATAGATACTCGTTGAAGGTTATCCAGGTTTATGCACCGACCTCGACACACCCAGACGAGGAAGTAGAGGTTATGTATGAGGACATAAGTAGGGCCATACATACTAATAAAACCTACTTCAATGTTGTTATGGGGGACTTCAACGCGAAACTGGGAACTCGAGGCGATAACGAGCTGAGAGTGGGGCAATTCGGGTATGGGCAACGGAACCACAGGGGACAGAGACTGGCTGAGTTCCTGGAGAAGGAGGACCTCTTTGCGATGAACTCCTTTTTCCAGAAGCCGTCTCACAGGAAATGGACCTGGATGAGCCCGGACGGTTCCACAAAAAATGAGATCGACTTCATCATGACAACAAAGCGACAGATGTTCAATGATGTCTCTGTGATCCATAAAGTAAAAACCGGCAGCGATCACCGACTGGTCAGAGGCACATTGAATATCAATATAAAGCTGGAAAGATCACGTCTAATGAAGTCTACGCTCCGACCTTCAAATGCACATATCGGTTGTCCCGAGAGCTTTCAGATCGAGCTATCGAATCGTTTTGAGTCCCTGGAGAATTGCGAGTCAGTGGACGAGATTAGCAACAGGTTTGTAGAAACTGTCCATGCGGTCGGGTCGAAGTTTTTTAGACCCCGCCGAAAAGACAGACCGCAGAAGCTTACCGATCGCACCCTCAAACTCATGGCAGAACGACGTGCTATGGTACTCCAGACCTCTGCCGATGCTAAAGCACATCGGCAGCTCAATAGACAAATATGGAAGTCCATGCGACACGATATCCGCAACTTTAACGCCAATAGGGTTAAAGAAGCGATAGAGCGGAACCAAGGCTCCAAAGTGTTCGCTAGGGACATGTCTATTGGGCAAACACAGCTGACGAAGCTGAAGGCGGAGGATGGCAGTGTGGCGTCGACGAAGGCCGAAGTTTTGGGTGAGATCGAGAGGTTTTATGGACAGCTATACACATCGGTCACTAGACCTGTTAGCTCAGTCGCCGATCCAAGAGCTAAACTCACCCGACACTATACCGAGGATATCCCGGACATCAGCCTATACGAGATTAGGATGGCCCTCAAGCAGCTCAAGAACAACAAGGCGCCGGGCGAGGACGGAATCACATCAGAGCTTCTGAAAGCGGGCGGAACACCGGTACTGAGAGTCCTTCAGAAGCTCTTCAACTCCGTCATATTCGAAGGAGCAACGCCGGCGGCATGGAGCAGAAGTGTGGTGGTACTATTCTTCAAGAAGGGAGATAACACTCTACTGAAAAATTATGGACCCATCTCACTTCTGAGCCATGTCTACAAGTTATTCTCGAGGGTCATCACAAATCGTCTCACACGTAGGTTCGATGACTTCCAGCCTCCCGAACAAGCCGGTTTCCGGAAAGGCTATAGTACCATAGACCACATCCATACGATGCGGCAAGTTATACAGAAGACCGAGGAGTATAACTTGCCACTATGCTTGGCGTTTGTGGACTATGAGAAGGCTTTTGATTCGATCGAGACTTGGGCTGTGTTAAGATCTCTCCAGCGGTGCCATATTGACTTTCGGTACATCGAGGTTTTGAAGTGCTTATACACAAACGCCACTATGTCGGTCCAAGTACAAAACCAGAGCACTAAGAATATTCCTCTGCAGCGAGGTGTAAGGCAAGGAGACGTCATATCTCCGAAACTGTTTACCGCTGCATTGGAAGACGCTTTCAAGCTCTTGGAATGGAAAGGATCTGGCATCAACATCAACGGCAAGTACATCACTCACCTCCGGTTTGCCGACGACATTGTAGTCATGGCAGAATCGCTGGAGGATCTGAGCACAATGCTCGATGACCTCTGTAGAGTTTCTCAACAGGTAGGGCTCCGAATGAACATGGACAAGACGAAAGTCATGGCAAACGCCCATGTCACGCCCTATCCGATATCAGTTGGAAGTTCTAACCTCGAAATTGTTGACGAATATGTATACCTGGGACAAGTGATCCAGCTAGGTAGGTCCAATTTCGAGAAGGAGGTCAATCGTCGAATCCAACTTGGATGGGCAGCGTTCGGGAAACTACGCAACATCTTCTCGTCCAACTTACCTCAGTGCCTTAAGACGAAAGTCTATAATCAATGTGTGTTACCAGCGATGACCTATGGAACTGAAACGTGGTCTCTTACTGTGGGCCTTATAAAGAAGCTCAAGGTCGCTCAGCGCGCTATGGAGAGGGCTATGCTCGGAGTTTCTTTGCGAGACCGTATAAAAAACGAGGATGTCCGCAAACGAACAAAGGTTTCCGACATAGCCCAGCGGATTAGTAAGTTGAAGTGGCAATGGGCAGGGCACATAGCGCGTAGAACCGACGGCCGCTGGGGCAGAAAGGTTCTCGAGTGGAGGCCACGTACCGGCAAGCGCAGCGTGGGACGTCCACCCGCAAGGTGGACAGACGACCTGATTAAGGTCGCAGGAAGCCGCTGGATGCAGGTCGCTTCCAACCGGCCTATCTGGAAGTCAATGGGGGAGGCCTATGTTCAGCAGTGGACGTCCTGTGGCTGATATGATGATGATGATGATGATAGCTTTATCAATCGACAATACTACTAACGTGACTAACGTGTCGAAGGTGCATCTAGGAATAATATTTTTACTTAGAACTCAAAAGTAACAATGAAATTGGATACATTTTTGAAGTAAAAATAGCAGATTTTCAATTAATATTTCTATAATCGTGGTAATTCGAGAACAGAATACAAAATAAGTGCGTTAGCGCCGGCATTGACTTGGATTTTGATTAGTTAATTGATTACTGCTCAATTGTATGGTACAAGCATTACAATAATGACATTCAACCATTAGCCTAGTTACTTAATTTTCCCGCAATTTACTTATGCATGACGTCATTTCAAACAAATAATATAAAACATACCTACAAATGTTCTTTACAGCTTATTTCATGGTCCTCAAACATGACGGCGTTATTTGGACAAATATTTAATTAGTTTATGATAAACTGTGTAATATTATTTAGCTACATACTCATTACATACATGTGTGGGTGTGACAACTATCGCTGCGGAGCTTTATATGTCGCATTCAATGGAATGTCTAGTGATTTTAATTGGGATATTAAAGTTTTGGACATATGGCTCAAGCAGCGTCGTTGGTCTAGTATACTTAGGTACTGTTAGGATGGCGATCCGTGGGTCCTTTTTAAAAAAAAACACTTGTTACTGCTAAAAGAATGTTTATTAAGAAAGTTTACACTACACAAGAACTGAACTCCCGACACGGAATGTACAGTATGTACTGCGAAATGGCTATGACTGACTACTCTAGCACATGGAAAATGGCTTTTTATAATATCGGTGACAATATGGAAGCGGCGGGGTTTTCACCTAAGTCAGCATTTGATGCATTACAAAGTCGGTTTATAACAGTACCATAATTACATAGTAAAGTCTACGAGTCTATATAGGCAATCGTAATCAGTAAGAATAATTTTGCTGTAACTTCAAATCGAGTACCGACATCGTAACACTGAAGACTAAATGCTGTATAATCGTCGATGATGCAAATATTTACTCAGAAGCAGAATAGTTATTACATGAATGCTCCCTCAGTATCCCTGTGTCCAATAATAAACTTCCACAAACCACTCAATGCAACAGGAACAAAGCAATAAAGTTGGAATGGTAATAGATGAAATAATAATTGTTGCACTCATTCCTGCGGTGTACTAAACCTAGATATCCTTGCTATGAATCAGTGTAGGGTTACCCTCTGACTGTGATCAAATGTTTTAGTACTGCTTTGAAAGTTTAAACTTTTACATTGTTCTGTTTTAAGGGTCTACAGATGATGCCAGTGGCATTGTGTATTAGCGCCGTTAGTAGCTATAAATAGTATAATAATAAAACGTTTAACTAAAAAATGTTTTTTCTTTGTTTACAGCTCCTTCAAAACTTGGGCAAGGTAGACCGGACCCTCGACGATATATTCGAAGAGCACCTGCAGAACTTCAACAGGCAGCATCAGCAGGCCACCAGGCTTCAAAAGGAATTCAATAACTACATAAGATGTATACGAGGTGAGCATCTATAAGCCGTTGGTTTCTATATCTGTTTCACATCCAACCTTATTTTTAATATAGACTAATGAGTCTTCATTACTCTATATTAAGACCTCATCAAGATCAAAGTCTCAAAAATTTGATTGAGGTCGAAACCTGATCACCCCGACGACAAGACGTCACGCTAATCAGATCTGAATAGCCAACACATGCGAAACCAGGCTAGCGGTTCTCTCATAATTCTTAGATACTAATTCGACCTAACAGCAATCTAAGAGGCAGGACGTTGCTGATCATTTCATATCCACATCCTTCGAACCATTGTATGAACACAAAGCAACCAGTGTCCAGATCTTAAGGCACTCTTCCTGGCACTACACTATTAGACGTGCTCAGTCACTTGCCGTATTTAAGAGAATGGTGAAGGACCACTACTTGGCTTGTTAATCCTGTCATCACACTGTACCTATACTTTCTAATCACTATCAATTTTATTTATTTATCATTTTTGTTCTTTATATTTTATGTTGTCATATTATGTATGTATATGTATTTATCTCAATGTATGCCATTAACTGCCCCGTTCCAACCTCTTCTACAGTTTGATTCCATCCAAAGGTTGTCTGGAAGAGATTGCTTTTTAGCGATAAGACCGCCTTTTGTACTCATGTTTGTTTGTTTTTATATATTTTTTATGTTCTTGTCCTAATGGTGTACAATAAAGAATATTATTATTATTTTTTTTTTATTCAGCATATAAACATATAAATTACATTTTTAAATATTTCTTATAAATAAATAATAAAAAACATTTAAAAATATAAAAAATAGTGTCCCACCGGTATCGGGAACTGGGTCCAAGCTACCGGCGGTCAGGGCTCCAGAGAAAGGAACCTCCTGACAATACGAGCCGTGTCCAGGAGTACCACTTTCTGAATCAAGCCCTTGATCCAGCCACCTAACGAGAGCCTCCTAAGATGTTGGTCGAGGCTCTTGGCTATTAAGCCATTGGCTGACACGACTATCGGTACAATGATAGCTGAATCCACTTCCCACATGTCGACAACCTCGCGAGCCAAGTCGATATACTTGATCAGTTTATCTTTCTCGGCTTTCACAAGGTTCTCGTCATGTGGGACGGCTATGTCAACAATCATTGCACGCCTCTCCTTCCGGTCCACCACCACAATATCAGGCTTATTGGCCACAATAGTCCTGTCAGTGATGATAGACCGGTCCCAATACAAGGTGATATGACCATTATCAAGGACTGGGTCGGGCTCATACCTGTAGTACGGCACTTCCGATTCCACAAGAGAGTATTTCAGAGCAAGCTGCTGATGTATGATCCTGGCTACAAGGTTGTGCCTATGCAAGTACTCGCCGTTAGCTAGACGAGAACAACCAGAGATTATGTGACGAATTGATTCTCCCGGACGGTGACATGCCCGACAGATGTCAACCGTGCCGTCCTTCACAATAAATCTCCGGTAGTTATTCGTCATGATAACTTCGTCCATAATTGCACAGACAAACCCTTCGGTTTCCCCAAAGAGGTCACCAAAACGCAGCCAGGCTACGGACGCCACCTGGTCTACATCCGGTCCATGTAGGGCTCGGAAAAAGCGTCCGTGAAGCTCCTTGCTCTGCCATACTTCCCTGCGAGCGTTAGTGTCAAGTACGACGGGTTTGCGCCAGTTCTCGATAGCCAGGGAGAGCGGGGTGAGACCTTTGTCCACTGCCACTACATCTCGATGCATATCCACGTCGGCAGCTAGGAAATATTCCCTGAGACTACATACCTCACGGTTGTGTAGGGTCTTGGCATTTAAAAAGCCTCGACCGCCACACTTCCGCGGGATATACAGTCTCATCACCGACGACCGCGGATGATGCATTCGGTATGCAGTCAGCATTGTTCGGACTTGCCTATCCAGGGCGTCCAGTTCAGTTTGAGACCATTTGAGTACGCCGAAAGAGTACATCAATACCGGCATGACCCAACCGTTGAAGGCGCGCACTTTGTTTCCACCTGAAAGAAAGCTATTAAATACTTTCTTCAGGCGACCAAAGAAACGCTCCTTCAGCGATTGCTTCATGTCAGTGACATTGATGCCTAAAGCTTCCGACATACCCAAATACTTATAGGTTTCTGTTGGAGAGAGGGACCTTAGGTTTATGGAATCCGTGAGTTGAGTTCCCACAGATTCCACAACCTCCCCTCGTTTTACATGCATGATCGCACATTTGTCCACACCAAACTCCATCCTGATGGCACTACTGAAGGTTTCAGTTAGCTTGAGTAGCTCCATCAGTTGCAGTTTGTTGGGGGCAAAAAGCTTCAAGTCATCCATGTAAAGGAGGTGAGATATAACCTGACCACCTCTCTTCAACCGGTAGCCTAGGCCTGAATTCTCTAGGAGTGTGCTTAGGGGATTCAAGGCTAGGCAGAACCAAAGCGGACTCAAACTATCACCCTGGAATATACCACGCTCGATCCTTACAGGTTCGCTGTTCCTTTGGGTATGTCGACATCCCGGATAGCGAAGGACCGTACTCCATTGCCTCATACAGGACATCAGGAAGGTGCGTAGTATTGTATCAATTTTATACAATTCCAACACCCTCATGAGCCATGTATGAGGAATAGAGTCATAGGCCTTCTTATAGTCTATCCAACATGTCGACAGATCCTTACGGGCACGTCGAACCTGTTGGCTGATGGCCATATCAATGAGGAGTAGCTCCTTAGTACCGCGGGATCCGTTCTTACATCCATTCTGAGCAGTTGACATGATTTTATTTTTGTCAATATGACTATTAATTTTACTTCTCAGTATGGATGTAAGAACTTTATAGACCGTCGGCAGACACGTGATCGGTCTATAATTTTTGGGTTCCGCAGTACTACCTGATTTATGGAGCAGGTGGGTTACTCCTGTCGTTAGAAACTTGGGCAGCGATCCTGACTCTACGGCAGACTGGAATTGAGATGCTAAACGAGCGTGCGCCCTTGTGAACCACTTGATCCAGAAATTGTGCAGTCCATCCGGCCCTGGAGATTTCCAGTTAGGCAACGGACGGACTGCACGAGCAACATCTTGGGGACTGATGTTAATTGTCCCCATTTGTGGTATTGGATCGCACGCGCGTTCGACATCCCGAATCCAGTCACCCTCAGTGTGACTGACAGGCACCGACCAGATGCTGCGCCAGAATGAACACATGGCGTCATCATCCGGGAGGCGTCTATCAGTCACACCATGGTCCGGTCGCTCCCAAGTCCTATACACCCACCTTTCATTACTCCGGAATGTGCGATTCTGGGTATATCGTTCCACCCGTCGCCTGTACCTCCGAATACGGTTTGCCCATGCATATACTTTCTGCTTCAGAAAGTCGATGCGCTCTGTGACGCGGGACATATAGTCTCGGGGGCTGATATCTGTCCCCGAAAATGCCCGTCTCACAGAGCGCATCACTCTGGGGCGGGTGTTACCTTCCCTGAAGCAGATTAATTTGCCGATGAGTGCTCTGGCCCCAGCAATACGACACTCAATCCTGCGCTGCCAGGCCGGTACAGCTGGTTTCGGTCGTGTGGTTACGTCATTAGTAGGGAATTTGACGTGAGCCACACGACATGCCGCTACGGCCGCGCAGTACATTATCGAGTGTGTATCACCGAGGTCTTCGCAGTCATCTAAATAATTAGATAACTGCGAATCCAGTGCAGCCACCAGCGCTTTATTCTTGTTATGCATGGGCAAACGAGGCAAGCGTGGTCTGAGTTCGGGTGATATGTAGCGATATTCCCGAATCGCATATTCCAAAGCACTCCTCAATTCATCAATGCACTGGCTACTTACGTGTGCAACCGTATCAGTACTTTCCTCATCAGCGACGGCACTAACAATACCGTGGCTGGTCAGTGGCAAAGTCGCTGGCACCACAGTCCGCGACGAGGAGGCACTGGCACGGCTACCCATTTCCGTTTGAAGGCGATCAAGCACAGTATCGTCCAGCATACGGTTACGCTGGATGACCCGCACCTGATCCGACAGTCGTTGAGCTGATACGTTGACGGCTGGCTCAAGCACCTGAAACAGAGAGAGCATCCGAACACGGTACGCGGTCAGGTTGTTTCCTCCCTCTGTAGCCCCATAGTATGCGCGCATGACGTTTTCGTTTATTGATTGCGTCCATCGCATGCGCTGCACACTTCCGCCGACGGCTGGGACCCTATCAGAAGCCGGTGGGCCTCGAGGTCCTAAGCGGGCCGGCGGCCGGCGTCCTCCCCGGCGACGCGTAGGTGGTGGTGTCGTCGGCGGTGAGTAGTACTCGTCGCTGGAGCTCGACGCAGCTGCCACGGCCGGTGTCACATCACTCACGGTGGGGCTGGATTCCGGCGGCGGCGAGGCGGAGCTGAGCGACGAGGCCGGTGGTGGTGGGCGTGCACGCCGTGCTGCGGCTCTCGTCAACATGATTGTTTCTTCCAAGTTCTTACGTCATTGCCTTTTTTCTCTTTGTCTTATTGTACGGAATTTTCTTCATTTTGTCTGTTTGTGTTGTTGTTTTTGCCAAGGGGTTTTTTTTTATTTAGTTTATTATTGGTATTATATATATTTGTATTTATTATAATTTTATAAATTTTGAAGAGAAAAAAATTGACAGTTCATATTGACATCGAGCCATCTATTATATATATTATTATTATTATTTCTTGTCATATCTTATATTTCTCCCATCATAGTGGGGTTTTAAAAGAGGCACGGGCCGAAGCCAAGTGCATTAAACTTAAAATTTGTAATAATATATAACACTAAGCGTTTAAAAATTTTCGAGTTAGGCGGCATGTATTTAAGATTACTGCTTTTTGTAAAAGCAGATAGGTGGCTGGACTAATATTTAAAGAATGGAGGCTGCTGTGGAGGTTTTTTGGGATGACCCCTGTGGTCGACAGAATGATAGGTATAGTTTTGGTGTGGGTTATGTTCCATTGCGTTTTGAGTTCTATAGATAAGTCAGTATATTTTGCTATTTTTTCCGAATGCGTGGTAATTAGGTTGTGGGTATTGCATATAGCTATGTCTATTATGTACACAGTTTTTTTTCGTTTATCTATCATTGTAATATCCGGTCTATTATTGTAAATTGTTTTGTCAGTTATAATAGTTCTGTCCCAATACAGTTTGAAACTGTCATTCTCTAATACTGTTTGCGGTTTATATTTATAATATGCTATTTTCTCTGTGATTAATTTGGTCTGGATAGCTAAGGATTGGTGGATAATTGCTGCAACTTGGTCATGGCGGTGTTTATAATCAGTTTGGGCTATGGACCTACAGGCGCCGGTGATGTGCTGGATTGTTTCCGACGCACCATGGCAGCGCCTGCAGGAGTCATTATAGTTAGGTCTGCGTACTATGAATTTCTGATAGTTGGCTGTATCAATAACTTGGTCTTGTATGGCGATCATGAATCCCTCCGTTTCAGGGAAGAGTTCACCTCGCCGCAGCCACGCGTTCGACGCTTTCATGTCGACATGGGGTTGCTGCAGGTCGAGGCGATGTCTTCCATGGAGAGATTTATGTGTCCATACTGCTATCTTTTCTGCTTTACTAGTTAAGCGCTCGTTAGTTTGTGGTTCAGTGGAGTGTAAATTGAGTGGAGTGTATTTTTTATCCATGTGTGACACTATTTTGTGGAGAGGAGATTGCTGAGCTTTTTGCATGAAAAATTTTCTTAAATTGGCTATCTGTTGATTGTGTAGATTTGTTATGTCTATGAGACCCCGTCCTCCATCATCTCTTGGCAGTGTGAGCCTTTGCACACACGATCGAGGGTGGTGTTTTCGGTTTGTGGTTAAACATGTATTAATTAACCGCTGTAGTTTGGTGAGGTCTGTTTTTGACCAGTTTATAATACCAAAAGAATAGGTAAGTACGGGAATAGCAAACGTGTTTATAGATTTAATTAGGTTGCGTGATGTAAGTTGCGATCTTATCAACATGTTGAGTCTGTGTTTGTATTTACTGATTATTTTATTTTTGGTGTGCTTCTGATTAATTTGGTGTGATTGTTCAAACCCTAAATACTTGTACGTACTATTTAGGGTTATAGGTTCTATAATCTGTCCAGATTCTAGTGTATACGGGTTACTTTCTAAGTGATGTCCTTTTCGGAGTGTAAACGTTTTACATTTATCAATGCCGAATGACATGTTTATATCATCCGAGAAAGTCTGTGTGAGATCTACCAGAGAGTGGAGGCCTGAAATATTATTGCTGTAGAGTTTGATGTCATCCATAAACATCAAATGCGTTAAATTCAGGACCTGGGTGGTATTGTCCTGAATGGTGAGACCATTTTTTGATGAATTGAGAAGATTGGATAGGGGGTTCATTGCAAGGCAGAACCAAAGAGGGCTTAGGGCATCTCCCTGGAAAATGCCTCGTTTAATAGGTATTGGGTCTGTTTCTATCAATTTGCCTAATTTTATTCTAGTACTCCAGTGTGCCATGGTTGCGTTCAAGAATTCTATAATATCTGGGTGTATTTTATAGTGTTGCAGTACGTACAGTAGCCAGCTATGTGGAACCGAGTCGAAGGCTTTCTGATAGTCGACGTACATTGTACAAATGTCCTTTTTCAATTTTACGTTGTGCTTCATAGCTATTAAATCTATTGTCAACTGTTCTTTACATCCTTGACTCAGTTTGCGACATCCTTTTTGTTCTTCCGCTAACAAATTGTTTTGTGTTATGTATTTATAAATTATTTCTGAAATGCAACCGGTAGTTAGTTTGTATATCGTCTGTAAGCATGTTATTGGTCTGAATTTGGATGGGTTCGTCTGGTCAAAGTCTTTAGGAATCATATATGTCAGGCCTTGTGTAACAAATTTTGGTATCGATTGAGGGTTCTTGATGAAATTATTAATGTGTTTATAAATTGATGGATGGAGGTAAGTTAATTTCTTGTAGAAGTAATTGTGGATATGGTCAGTGCCTGGAGCCTTCCAATTGTGAGCTTTTTTGATTACATTTACGAACACCTCTAGGGGAATGGTATCAAACAACATTTCCGGAATATTATCTAGACGTTGCCTATCGTCATCAATCCATGTGGCATTTTGTTTATGTTCTGATGTATTAGACCATATATTTGACCAATAGCTGTGAAACTGTTCAGGGTCCAGGTAGTGACTGTCTGGTAGTTGTTGCCTATTTTGCGTATTAGAAGTAAAGCTAGTCAAGTTTCTGTAAAATTGTTTTTCGTTGTATCTAAATTGCGTATTTTGTTCTTTGCGTTTGGTACAATTAACATATCGACGGCGACGACTTGTTATGGCAGTGAGTTTTTGTTTTAAACTGTCCATAAACTGTTCGTTTGTGGTGTTAGGCTCTTCATAGTTGGAGTGTTTACGATATTTATTTTTAATTCGCTCAATATGTGTAATTAATCCTAAATGCCTATTGCCGTTAATGTATTGGGTCATTCTACCTATCTCTTTTCTTATTATCTGTATCTTTCTATCTAAGCGTTTTAACCAGTTTGGTCTTTTGTCTGTAGTTGAGTTTTGTTGAGGTGTAAATGTGTTTTGGGTTATTTCCTTAATTTTGGAACCATTGCATAATGCAGCAGTATGAGCAGCACAATAAACAAGTGTGTGAGTTTTCAAGAAATCATCTTCATTAGATACGTACTTGGGCAAAATTGTATTATTTATATATGAGATAATATGAGAAAATTTTCTTGATGTGTGTTGTTTCGGAATAAATGGTCTTTTTGTGGGGTCAGATAGTGAGTATGTATTATATGTTTCTTCAAATGTTTTTGCAATTGAAGTGTCAAGAGTTTCATCAAGATATGTAGTGTTTGCAGTATTATCCTCCAACACCATTGTATCCTGCGCAATTGTTATATCTACGTCTGTGTTGTCATGATGAATCTGTGACGCCAATTGGCTTATTTCGTAACCACAGGGTAAATAATTAGGATCTGTATTTAAAATAGTTTCTGATTCATCATCGATTTGTGTGTTATCTATGGTTTGAACGTTAAGTGTGTGTCCTACTTCTCGTTTTATTTCTTGTAACCTGTCATCTGAAATTAATCTATTATTAATGATAACCCTGCGTTGGTCAGCAATACGTTGTTCGGAGACATGTGCAATATGAGGGAATTTCTGTGTTATGATGGTGTGCAGTGGTTTTCGATACGCAGTTTTATTGGTTTCATTTTGAGTTATTCTAAAATATTCTCTTATGATCGCTTCATTAATATCGTCTGTCCATCTTAATCGAGTATTTGAATGTGAGGATTGTTGTGGTTCGCAATACGTAGCGACTTGGTTTACAGTACTATTTAGAAGTGTTATCCGGACCTCGTTTTTTATGGACTCTAAAATGGATTCTGGTAACAATTTATTTCTCAAAATAGCTCGTTTTTGGTCTCCTAACCTTTGCTTAGAAACTTTAATTTCAGGGAATTTTTCTGTAAATTTTGCATATAACGGGTCTAGGTAGCCTCGGATTTTAGTGTCTAAATCTGTAACATGTAGGTAGGTGCGCCAGATGAACTCATTCATTTCCTTCGTCCATCTCAATCGCGCGCGTACTTGACCTGTGGTGGGCACAGGATTGTCGGCTGATGCCTCCTGTGCAACATCCACGGCTGCAGAATTATAAGAAGTGGGTGAGGGATTAGAGGAGAAATCAGTGTTAAAGTTTAAACAGGAGAGAGGTGAAGAAGGAAGTGAAGGAAAAAGAGAAATAGAGGAGGATGGTCTGCTGTCGCATTGTTCGGGTGACCCGGTAGGAGCCCGCAGACTCAACTCACTACCACCGATGGTTCGTATGCTGGAACGCCCAGCATCGGCTCCAGGCGTGCCCCGGCGATCGCCCCCGGGCAGCGATCCTAAACGTACTTTCTTCATTGCTCTTGTCTCCATCTCGTCGGTGGGTTACTATAGCCACGTTAGCCGCCCAGTAATATTATTTTTGCGTTGCACGCCCCCCACGTGATCAGGTGTTCGATCGGGACGTGTGGTTAGATTTCAGGGGGCTTATTATTATTATTATTATTACAGTTATAGACTTTCGCTAAATTGCGCTGAATTCGATCAAAGGAATGACGAATTACTAACACTCCGATGCTCAGAGATTCTTGAACTCGTTCTGGGTGTGTGCCAAATGTGTGCACATAGTGCTACGACAAATAGATCGCAGCTTGTAATGAGGTCTAGTGTAGTGCGAAAAATGTGATCAGTTTTGCAGCTAGTACTATTCAAATAAATAAATGATTATCGATTGAAATACTGCGTTGATGGTGGTATTACTTATGTCGTTTGGCACATTTTTAAGAATTTATAATGTCGTAAACATGTCGGTTTTGAAATCGGTCCAGAATAAACTATAATTCGAAGACTTAGGAATAGTGTACACTATTAAATCTGTCTTTCTGATATTTTACAGCGGTGCAAACGGCATCAAAGTCTTTGATGGAGGCTATCACGGAAGTTTACGAGAGTGGATGGTCTGGCCACGACCTCCTGTACGTGCAGGCGCAAAACTTGGAGATGCTATGGCAGGACTTCTCTCACAAGCTCGGCGATCAAGTACTCATACCGCTCAATACGTACACCAATCAGTTCCCTGAAGTCAGGGTAAGTTGACGTTCATTAATTTAGTCTATTTGTAAGGTAACAAGATTATAGACCATGTCTTAATCTTCTAGCCGTTTGGCAAGCGTTCTAGATATTTTAGATGTCCCTTTAGCAGTGGACATCTTGGTTTATGATAAGACAAAAAACCTAGTTCAGAAGTGTACAGCAAATGGTCTCGGAACGAACTTGAAAGAAAGAAATAAATTGATCTTTCGTCTCAAACTATTATGTCGATTACAGCGCTGAATTATTTAGATTTATAGCTAGCTACTCAAATCACGCGATCATAAATGACTTAACAGTTTGGTGGAATCAATTTAATCTAATTATGAACCTTTTCATTAATTTGATTGAGTCTAAACGAGCTTCATTGCACATGATTTTTAATAATTTAATTTGCGAGTTTATGGCCGACGACTTTTAAAAGGTATCAAATTAGGTTTACATTGCTGGAATTGTTTTATTTCCTGTCGTTCGCGTAATAGCTGTGTGACGGTTTTGCTCTAATTTCGGTTAATTTATAAACATGTTTACGAAGACTTAACATTGTATGAATAGCAGTGTTTGGTGAATGCAGTTAGTAGAGTACATTGTTGATAATTTTTCATATGTGAAGTTAAGCTTAACACACAAGAACTAATATAGAACCTACATTATTTAACGACGCGACGTCTGAATTAACATTTACATATAATTTACTGTAAAATCAAATTAAAAATTACAGAAAAAGATCGAGAAACGTGGTCGCAAGTTGGTGGACTACGACAGTCAAAGGCACAGTTTCCAGAATCTGCAATCGAACGCTACGAAGAGAAGGGACGATGTTAAGGTAATTATAAGTTTTAATTAAATGTCACTCCGTTAATTTTTTTTATATCATGGGTCGGCAAACTACCTGACGGATTACCTGATGGTAAGCAATAATATTCATACCAAAAAGGTTGCTACAAGTGGTTGCCGGCCTTTTATGGGTTATTAGGAAATGGGGTGGTGGGAAAGGATTGGGCCTCCGAAAATCTCACTCATGCTCTGGTCGAGCTAGTCCATTCGTGTCGAGGGATGGCTCTCCCATGCCTATTTGATTATAAATCAAAAGTAGCGAACAGTTAATGGGTAACTTTAGCGTAAAAGAAAAACTATTAGACCAATTGTGAAGGTATTGACAATCAGAAAATAAGTGACTTAGGTATTCTTGACGTGTCTTTTATTGTTTTCCAGGTAACCAAAGGCAGGGAACAACTAGAAGAAGCAAAACGCACATACGAAGTCCTAAACTCTGAACTGCACGACGAACTGCCAGCACTATACGACTCCCGGGTTCTATTCTACGTCAACAATCTGCAAACACTCTTCTCGGCTGAACAACTGTTCCATTCTGAAAGTCATAAGGTGAGAATATACGAGAAAACCCTTAAAGAACAGTTAACAGCTCATATAATCACTGATTAGGGGGTTTTTACTAAGTCTGATATTGATAATCAAATTCTTGATGCTCCATTGTAAATAATTTTTCTTTTAATTTGCAATTAATTTTCCTTTTGCCATTTTCTCTGCTCATTAGAAGTTATCGTATCGTATTACCTTTTATTTTTGTCATATCTCAATCTTCTAATTTTTTTGTCTTGTTCCTTTCACATTTCGTTTTATTCCTTTATTGATTTTACTTTCACGTATTTCAAATAATAAACTGACTATGAAGTAATGTTTTCTAGACAATGGGGAAGTCCTAAGTCAAAAATAAATTGTTTCAAAGAAATAAGACATTGAAAAATAACTACACTATCATCGATCTGTCGATATACATTTTTTTTTTTTTTTTTGATATTTTTAGCTAAGTTTAATAAGTAAGCTATTTGACGCAAAAATACTATGACGTCACAATTTGGAGTTACTTACTTTCATGAAAAAGTATTGAATTTAACTAGTTGGGATCTACCTTATTATACATTTTCGAGCTTGGATAGTATACATATCTAAAATAAATCATCAATATTTCAGGTATTCGGCGAACTGGAAGCGATAACGGACAAGCTGGCGAACGACTGCCAGCGCGGGTCGTACAGCAAGAAGTCCAACAACGTGACCATGAACAACGTCGCGCCGCCCGCCTCCCCGCCCGCGCTCGGCACCCTCAACGGGAAGCACACTGACACCGTGCAGAGTATGTACACTCCCCGCCCCCCACTGAGGGGACAATACCTAGTGACGAGTTTTGCTTATGCCAACGCGATCTTCACGTTCCCCTATTCGGGGATGCGGGGTAAGCGCAATGGGGCACCATAGCCTCGGCCCAGAGCAGGAAAAAGAACGGGGGTTTTTTAGTCATTAAGAGTCTGACACTCCCTCCCGTGCCTTTGATGCCGGCATTTGATGATTTTCCTCTTTAGCTCTCTGATTGGCCGGTTAATTTCAAGCTACCATCGGGCAATGCGATATCTATTGTTGAGACCCCTACCATTCGGTCTAAGCGTTTCGCTTCGTCCTTTACACAACGCACATCTAAGAATTGGAATAGCTTGCCTGCAACGGTCCTTCCGTCCAGTTATTATCTATATGTATTCAATTCGCTCTAGAATAGGATCTCTATAAACTAGTGCGCCTTACCATCAACGATTGCATCACTGCTTACCACCACGTGAAAAAAGAACTAGCCAATCAGAGCACCGAACGTCATAAACGTGTCGATCGCCTTAGCATAAAGCAAACTCGCACTCGGTTCTCTGACTTAACTGTGTTGTACTGTCTGGTATAAAAGAACAGCAATGTCATAGGTTGCTTATAAGCAATGCAAAATCATTGGCAGTTGGTTGCATCAACGCTCACTACTTATCGAGTTAGAGATAGAACACCACCAACCTCCTAATTATAAACAAAATGTCATCAGTCCAGTTTGCCATCCATTATCGAGAATAATCACCTAAAAATGGCTAATGATGCGCAATTTACGTATTAAATGATTTTAAAGGATAATAAACCACAAATACAAAAACTGGCCCAATTTTAGACCTAGACTAAAAAACCTACGGCCTTATTATAAAACAACACAGTTTTTTTTCTTGAACATAATTTTTATAGCTTGTATTGTTTTGTAAAATTAGATTTTATTGTATTTCAAATGGAGGTATAAAATTTTTGTTTCCACCGGAAACTTGTATAATACGGGAGTTTCTAACTAGTCAAACTCAATACTTTTATCCAAATGTCAAAAACTAAACTTTTCTATGAAATTTGTATAAAATGCTGAGTTATGACGTCATAGTATTTTTACGTCAAATAGCTAACTTATTTCTTAAAAATTAACTAAAAAATCTTAAAAATTTAGTGTATCGATATTTTGTATTAATAAGTGGTGTAATTAATTCTTACTATGTCAGACAGTACAACACAATTAATTAAAGGAATATATAGAATCGTTCAAAAAGATATTATATTGAATTAATTGTAAAAAGACGTAATGTCTGAAACTGACATTTGGCTTTTGTGTTGTGTTCGAGTAAATAATTAAATTGAAATGTGTTGAGTGATTGCTTTCTAAACATTAATTGGTTTGAAATTAAATTAGCTGTTAGCATTATCTTAATTAATTGGAGATGACAAAGTTACAAGCTTATGTATTATTATCAAAATTAGTCATGAATATAAAAATTCCTAGTAGCTTAAAGGCAATGCACGGTGATCCATATGTGAGCTGGTTTACCGAACTATCCCATAGAAAAAGTGAACTTGGTCATCTTCTCCGTCTAACCCGTGTAACAAGTGTATGCATGTCCCGAGTGTGTGTGTGTAGCTCCTCCGTCCCCCGCGATGAACGGTTCGTCTCCCCCGCCGTCCCCTGCCGAGGGGGACACTCCGGCCGCAGAGGTCCGAGCTCCCCCCCTCCCAGAGCCCCGCAGTGAGGAATCAAGCAAAGAAAAAGCCCCAACGCCACCAGCAAAGAGAGAGGACAAGTCTCCAACGCCCCCAGTCACCAACAACAATGTAGAGAAGGAACCAGCCGACAAGAAAGTTGAAGAATTATACGACATACCTGTTGGTAAGTCAGCAATATGTCTCCAGTCTCTTTATGGGCTCCTAGTACCTTGAATATAGGTAGGTAAAGAACTATAGAATTACTATCGAACGTCGGTGAGTAATGGTATCAAGCTAGATGCACTAATTCAATGTCGTGGTAGATAGACGCATGGCTAAAGCTATTTCTAAATAGCTAATACCAAACAATAATTTTAATAATTTATTTAGACATAAAACCCCACAGGACAATAATTATTACTATGTCATACTATGCCACAGTACAATTTATACAGAATAACAATACATCCAAAGACAGAGTAATTTTTCACAGTAGTCTCACTTACACTAAGCCATGTACCAGTAGACAAATAGCAAGTCACAATTCTCTCAGGGTCGCCCGTACCACCGGAGAAGTCAAATAATAACTCGGAGGAAAAGAGACAAGTAGATGTAGAACCAAAGGGCGAGAAAGGGAAGGAGAATGACAGTGAAAACAAGAACGACGATGTTTACGACATACCGATCGGTAAGTGATGGTCCGAGGGAGGAATAAACGAACAAATTGATTTATTTCGTTTATATTCCTGAGATAAAAGTAGTAGACTTTTTCACACTCATTTTCAGCTCATTGTGTAACAAATAATGTTGTTACAATATAATTATAATGTTACATGTTCCTCAATAATCCAATAAAGATTTAAACATGTACTAGTGTGAATAAGTCTTAAATCTTAGTGATTAACGCTCATCGGTGGGGGATCTAACAGTTGAACGCTTTTATCGTAAGTTATAGAATAACATAACATTCTAGTTAGAAATAGGTACTTACTACTATTTCTATGGTATTACAGTATCTTCCATTCTCTCGTAAAATGCATTTACTGCGGCACATCGACGACATTTTGAACATTTTTATAATGTTTTGATCAATATGAGCTTTGAAAATCTATATAATATATTTTATTTTATTTGTCGATTTTTCTCTTTTATAAAGGTTTTTGATCGCTAATGGGGCGTCCGGTTCCTATTGTTGTTCTAGTTGTTTCAAAACGTTTTTATAGTCCATACTTAATGAAATATTTTTTTATATTTATTTATTTTGTACTTATTAATGTTATTTCGTCACCCAGCTGATATTAAACGTATGTATATATTTATGTATGCTTTTTACTTTTAATATTGTGTGCCAATGATTTTGCTTGTTAGTTGTTTACTAGTATATTAATATTTTTTACTAATAATTTAGCTTTTAATGTAATATTAACTTAATATTTTGTTTAATATAATAAAGTTTGCCAAGGGACATATTTACTAGACGAGTGAAACATACATTAAAATTAGTATTTAATAAATATTATTTTTGCACTGACCTTGTTTGAGACGCACGTCAAATAAAATACCTAGCATAAAATCATTTTGAAACACACTGTATAGAATTGACACAGAAAAAAATCATAGTCGAGTAAAGCTACTACCTACTATAAACCTTGACAGTGTTGCCACTAGAAAAACCTACAAACGGTCGGTCATATTTCGGTACATTATTCGAAGATAGATACTGTATACTTCATTCATAACATTAATAATTCATTCTGGACATCTCTGTTACACGAGACGGTAGAAAAGTTATAATTTTTAAAATCTGCTCCATTTATTCCCGTTGGTAAACTTTATAGATCTACGCTATAGCTAATTACCTACCTTCCTAAGTGATACTTTGGTAACAGGAGCGACCCTGGCCGGTCTACCAGCGGGCACGCTGTACCGCGTCCGCGCGACGTACCGCTACACGCGCGAGGATTCAGATGAACTGTCCTTCGACGTCGGCGAGGTTATACGCGTTGTGGAGTATGATGATCCTGATGAACAGGTAAGAAACTCTAATAGGGTGACTCCATTGATTGAAATGTCAAAAACGAGAATTTTCTGCCTATTGTATGAAATAGCAAGTTGTGACGTCACACTTGTTTTACGTCAAATAACATAATTTTTTGTCTCGATTTATCTTAAAAAAAATACGAATATTAAATTAATCCTGATTTTTGATTGTATTTTTGATTGACCGATGAAATTTCCTAATTCTTAAGCTATAGTTAAAAAAAATACAAAGAGTTAAAAAGTTTATGGAAAGGATAAAGGATAATTATATTTATCCTCTAATAATTGGCCCATAAACTTATTGAACCCAATTTTAATTAAACCAGACTCACGGCTTTCAAGCAATCCGGTAAAAAATTAAGAATTATACCTTTTTGTGCATAAGTAACCTTCTTAATACACCTTTTATTCGTGCCACCCTCTGACGCTGATAAAAAAACTTCTATATCTGCTAAAAAATAAGCTACAATATTGAAAATCAAGTACTAGATCTTTTTGATGACTAACGAGGCAATAATACTATTTTGCAGGAGGAAGGCTGGCTGATGGGCATTAAAGAATCAACCAATGAGAAGGGAATGTTCCCCGCGAACTTTACGCGACCAATATGAAGCGCCGCAGTGTCATGTCACCACACTAACCAACTATATAGGTAACAACCGATTTGTACTACGAACTTTCTACACCATGATTTTGATTTTATTGTAATCATTAATCATTTTCTTTTACGTTTCAATTAGTTAACGATTCAAAAATCTATGTTATAACTTAGTATAGTTGTTGAATGTTCATAGATTATATATTATTTATTATTTTTTGTGTTGTATTACAACGAATTATGATAAATCGTAACCGTTTAACAGCGTTTGTATATACAGTGTATGAGTAACTTCGTATCATCATTTTAGTCACTTGTCGGTGTAGGGTTAATTATTTAACTTATTGATTATTCCATGTCACATTGTAGTAGGAAATATTTTTGACAGCGAAAATCATATCGACTCTATAGATTATTCATTCAATGCAATTTGAACCTTAACCTATTGCATTAATGTCTATCATATGTCAGAGTATCAAATGTGTTTCCTATTTAACTCTACCAATATGTATGACAATAATCTTAAACGATTATTAGATTATATTAAATATAAAAATCGAAATTGCTCATTGTGTAACAAATAAATATATTTTACATTCAAAGTGACCTTAAATTTTATTAAATAAATTAAATTAAAATATTGACGAACAATTCGAATAAGTGTTTTGAAGTTATAAAGTATGTATTCAGTATTATTTATTTTTTATCAGTTTTATTTATAACCGAAATGGTCCATTTTACTTTTTGTGTAAAAATGAATATTCCTACTTGGAATTTGTTGAGTTATTTTTGGAAATGTCCTAAGAATAAACTCTGCAACCTGTCTTCTCTATGTATAATATCATTTGAGATTAAATACTATTAAGTTTTTGCAGCATTTAAAGGCTGCTTTGTAATCTTTGCCTTCCAATTTATATCTTATATTATTACATTTCCGACGACGCATTTCATTTCATTTTCTTGATTGCATTTTCAAAGCGATGTCTTAACACATAATCATTATAAAAAGGTTAAGTTTTAATGTATATACAATTGATTTTAGATTTTTTTGTTGACCCCCATATATCATATTGTTAATAATATAACATAGGGACTAAATCAATCGAATATTATAACTTTTGAATAAACATTTTTAAGTAGGTTATATCTTTTTGTTAAATTATAACTGTATTAGAAACAGATACTAACTATAAAATAGTGCTTATGAATAACATCAGGATTTATAGTTAACAACTGAAGATGTCTATAAATAAAGTTTACATTTATTTTCAAGAATTGTATGTTCAATGCTCGAATTTGTAATAAAAGTGTCTCGAACATTAACACATTTATTCATAAACACCTTCAGGCTAAAATTGTAACAGACTTTTTGTGCCCAGAACAAACATTGATATTAATGCCAGTGTCAAATGAGGTGCTTTGAAAGTGTACATAATTATATATATTTTACATTTTAATCCCATATTTTTAGAATAAGATGGTTTGTATTGTGTTCCATTTTTAAAAACAACTTCCCAAATATTTCCCGTTGCCAACATTATTGAAAATAGGTGGGCAACACTGACGATTACAATATTTTGTCATTAATACTTTTTTGTGGGGATGGACCCGATACAACGTGCTCCTTGCGTGTGGAATTTTATGAAAAATTGTAAACTAGTTTTATTTAACAATCTTATAATGAATGACGAGCCACTTTAACGTATAGACAGCGTTTGGTCAGTTACAGCTTACCGTGTAGCTCCACCTCTTATCGATCATTGGAATAAACAACTTTTATACAAATTTATGACCTTATCAAATTTTGAATATCAATTTTAAAGAACGACTGAAGTTTTTGTAGGCAAAGTGTTGAAATGTTGCGATATTGTGTAGGAGTACAATCCGACATGTAGAAAGATGTGGTTTTATCGTCAGTGCCATGCAATGTCCATATGTAATGTTAATTTATAAGTTTGTTAGGACTTGTACAGTTTTTACAAGTGGAAAATAAAATATTTCGAAAATTTTCTGGTTTTATTTTTACCTTCAATCCTTATTACGTTGAATAAATTATATTCTGTGAATTCTAAGTAAGTGAACAGTTAGTGGCGCGACTTTTGTCATGTCATATTGGTGCTTTTAATGGTTACGACCCTCTAGTGTGGCTTAAAAATAGTTATCTTGCCAAACAGTTATAACTAGACCCCAGTTAATATCCATCATGAAAAGGCCAAAATTGCACCATAAACGGCCGTAATATGCATCAAAAGGCCCTTGACCACCTGATTTAGCACAAAATATCTTTGAAACCATTTCAGATTCCAAATTGATTTCAAGATTGGAAAATTATTGACGAATGTGCAAAAGTTAAAGAATCAAAATGTTGATTTAGTCAGACATTCATTACAATAACATTCATCAAGAGACATTATAATTAATTTAACTGCAAAAGTGCACTTTATTTACCTTGTACCTACACTATTCTGATTTTCTCAGTAGTTTCTGCCTATCCCCAGTCCCCCTGAGGAAAAAGGCGTAAAATAAATGAAGAATTCTGAATTGTATTGTTTCATTAAAATCTAGGAAAGAATTAAACAAGATAAGGTTTATTTTAGACCATGATCTACATTTTAAATTCATAATAATACATAAGTATCGCTACTGTCTGTCTGAGAGATGAAAGAGCATAAAAAAGAACTGATTATGATAAACTTTTGCCGTTTTACTTCAACATTACTTTTATTTATTTCAGTATAGTACCTACCACTACTGCTACGGTAAAAACACTGAAGAGAAAAAGGGTTGCCTCGATTCGATTCCGATCGAAAATCCAAACACTGAAAACAACATTTCCGAACGAACTTCTAACAGTCAGTTGTTTTTCATTTCACGCATAAACATGTGATGAGATGAGTTTGACGTTTTCTTGAAAATCAATATAATCTCTTTGAAGAAATAACAAATGACAAACATATGATTTTCAGAAAACGGAACGACATTTTCTGATTGATTTGTGTTCTGAATTTTGGACTCAAAATTTACGGGATTTTTCTGTGAAAATATGGTGTTTTGTTTAAAATATTTATCCACAATGTGCCAATATGTAGTTAGAGTACCTCGGTAGCTAGCTGGAAATGTTCCAGACGAACAAAGTAAGAAAAGAAATAGTATTAAAATACGTCGCACTTACCGAAGAAAAGTTGTTTTCTTTATTTTCAAAATCAATTTCATTGTTTACAGGAGCTTCAAGTGCTTTAATATCTTGAAGAATCTGTTAGGTAAGTAAATAGAAAGTATTTAAAACATATTTGCAAAAGTAATATTTATTAGGGCGGGTCTCGATTCAGTTTCTTTTCTTCTTAATTTTTTTTAATCTTCGCATTTTTTTCTTTGTTATTGTTTATGTTTACTTTATTTTTTTAATTACGCAGGGTCATTGAAATGAGTCACAATAGCTCGGAAGAAATGGCAGAAACACGATGTTCCATTTTAGTGAGTGTTTTTTTTTTATTTTGTTTGATTTAATTTGATTAAGTATTTGATTTTATTGTCAAATTAGTATTTAATTTAATAATATTTACTATTATCTGATTGATCTTTATTATCAATATGTGTTTATGGCATCTGCCCCAATATTGTTTAACAAATATGTACCTAGTATTATTTCATTTTTTATTTCTGACCAACTTTTATTCATTTTATGTATGTAGGTACATGTCACACCCATTAAATAAAATTAAATAAATACTCCAAAAATTATAAGTTAATACATTATAAAATAAATATAAATAAAAAGCCGTTTATTTCTTGCAGTTTACATAGAATGAGAAAATAGATTCTTAATTCTAGATGTTGTTATTTTCATATATATATAGCTTATCAAAACTTTTATTTATTATAAGTTAATTTAGTCTGCAAGAACCCCTCTGCAGGTGAAGGCCTCCTCCAAGTTTAACCAATACATTACAATCTTTTTTTTATTTTGTATCTAAAAGCCTACTTTTTTTAAGAGCTATGATAAAATATTATGAAACATCTATTGTAGGTGTAATACGTAATTAACAATAATAATAATAAGTCAGTTATTTGGCAGAAATATGGTGGTACAAAAGAGCAATTTTGTTGGTGTAGCACATTTGGTGTAACATATTTCACACTTACTTTAGGCATTGAGAATAATTCTTAAAACTTAGGTAAACAATGATACTAATACATAAGTTCAAAATATTATTTCAAATTTCTGTTAATGGAGTAGTTTTTTGCACATTTCTAATAGTAAATTATATTATTAAAATTAAGCATAGATATATAAATTATGGAATTAGAATTTAAACTGTTTTTTAGGTATGTTATTACCCCTCCCTATCTAGTCTCACCAACTATTAAGTCTACAGCTACAGCAGAAAGTTAGGGGTGTTAGCTATCCAGCCAGCATCTAACAGTAAACAGTTGTGAACAGACTATGTTGTGGAGTTTGGAGTTTTTAGCTTCAAACTTCATGTGTATGCTGTTACACATTCATATGGCATTCCATTTAAGAAATTACTTATCTGACATAGTTTTCTTTTTTTCTTTTTAAAACAATGTTGCCCCTCTTTAGGATTTTCTCCTATGTTGTGGGTGCGTTTACAAACATACAATTTCACATACATAACACACCCAGACCCGGAACAACAATTTATGGATCACACAAAGTGTTGTTCCGTGCGGGAATCGAACCCGCGACAAGTCGCACAGCAGCCAGTTGCCCAGCCACCGCGCCAACCGCGCAGTCTGTCTGTCTGCATAAGTGCTCTTTAATCATAGGTTTAAAGATTACCAATCAAGAAGTAGAGTGACAGAGCACAATATTTGTGAATTACACAAAATATTGTTCCGCAGGAACTGCACAGCCCTGTGGTCAGAGCAGGAGGAGAAACTGGGTGATCTGGTGTTGTCGCCCATGTATCTCTGGGTAGTAACACGAGAATGACTATTATAATTTCTTCTTTGTTAGGGATTTCATGATTGCTCCAGTAACCTCACTCACACGACGAAAAACACCACTAGCGTTGTATCATGCCGACCTTCTGAGAGGCCGTAGTACGACTCCGGTCGAGTCGGTCCTTTCTTGCCATAGCATGGCTTTCCCACTTGCATTGGGCAAGCCTTATGATGGATTCCTATTTCTCCTTTTCTCAACACTTGAATATTGACAGACTGATGATAATGATGATTTTTGCTATCCACTGTAATTTAAGTAAGTTAGTCAAATAATATGTGCCTTTTATTTAAAAAAAAAATCTTTAAAATTCTTTAAAGAAAATTTTAAAATCGTGAATTGACACGATTTTCGAATGTCCAACATTGTACATTTAATTTTCCGAGAATGCATCGTTTTACCATCACTTGTACCAGACCAGACTATCCGTCACCAGCAGTTAGGAAGCACTTTATCTTTACCTCACGACGCTTCTATTGTATTTTCTTTCACCTAAGTGTTCTGACATATTCAATTTATTGGCCGTCCGGCCGTGATCTTGGACATCGCCATAAATAGTAACTTATAAAAATCTGTACCTATGTTATCCAGTCTTTACGAGACAAGTTAACAGTTTTATAACTGTTTCATATTTTTAAGGGCGTGGAAGGCTCCTCTTGCCCTGAATGAGGCGAGGAGTTTGACAGAGAACCACATTTAACAAGCTTCTTGATCAGAGCTGAACTGCAGAATGTCATCACAATTGCTAAATCTGCTCTATGCGTACCTATAGTTTTGCGGGTAAAGGTAACATCACCCAATCAAATGTCGTTGCATTAGATTATTAGCAGGCTTAAACATCGTCCTCTGTGGATACATGTACTTATACACAATATTTTTAAGGAATAGGAGGCACACGAGAACTTTGACGTGCTGGTATTCGATCAGTGTCGCCTATGAACTTCTGCAACACCTTCGCAATTACGTAGAAGTAGATAAGCCCTTGTTTGAAGGTTTGAAGCCAATATTGTAACCAAATTCCTTACGGATAACGTTCAAATTTTAACATTCCTATCTATATAATTTTCGTAAGAATGTTATAATTTGAACTTTCGCATCACTATTAAATTCTAAATTGAAAAGTGTAAGTAAATCTAAATACCTACACGATGTTTGACGAAAGCATACACCAAGATTTATAATCTAAGTAATTGTAAACTACCGGGGTTGCGGGTTAAGCGCAATGAGTCACCGCAGCCTCGGCCCAGAGCAGGAGAAGTAATGGGGGCGTTTTTAGTCAGTAAGAGTCTGACACTCGCTCTCACCTAACCATGGGCGGGAGAAGTCATTTGATGATTTTCCCCTGACAAAAAAAAAAGTAATTGTGAACTAAAGGATCATCTTGACATTGCGACGATTATTGAACGTAAGACTTTTATTAGTTAGATCCTTCTTGAATATTATTTTTTAAAGGATTAGCTGCGCTTCGTCGTTGCGACGCGCTCTCTGCTCATGAATAAGAGTCCCGTTGTGACTTGAAAGTAGTAGAGCTTTTCTCAATTTATTCAGGTGAGTAAGTCGTTATTCCTGCTAAACAATCCTCCATTATTATTATACTCATTTACTTACTTACTTTTACCACTGAATCAACAATTCTCAACCTGATCTCGCCAGCAAACTTCGTTACAGAACATCAAAAAGCGCTTTTAAAGCAAGTCTCAATAAATCTTTTCATTATTTTAAAGCTGATACGGTAACTTTACATTTTCTCGGTTCACGAATCACAATGAGAAAAACTGAATCAATACTGATCTTGCAAAGGCTGCTGAGGTCGTCATGTAAAATCCATCATATTCGATCGCGGCCTTCGCTTGTGACGTCATTTCTGATACTGTAAACTCTGACATTTACATTTAGAATATGGCGAACTGAATTGAGGGCGAAATGCAGAGTACACAGCCGATAGCCTTTGTATAGGTAGGTAGATGAAGTTGTGTTTCTCTAGCAGTCTATTGTTTTATGCTCGTATATACCCTAACCTATTTAATGAATATAGTGAA